TTCTGAGGCTACAGACTTCCACCACTGGTCAAAAGAGAATGTAAAACACAGTTGCTCTTTAAGGCATTAGAAATTGCCTTATCATAAGGTTAAAGTGCATATTTCTGAAACTAGTGATGTTCTGCATGTTAATACTGATGCTGTAACAGTAATCAAACATTACAGGAAAATATACTGGTAAAACCTGACAAATTCTTATTCTTTTCATTAGAAAACCTTTGTTCTCTGCTCATGTATTTCACATAAAGAAATTCTGTCCATCTCTTTAGAGAGCATTAGTTGACAAACTGCTCCTTGATTTCTCTCATGCCTTCTTTAGGACGTCAAAGGCTGACAAATTGTTCTGGTGAGCTATGTATGTTCATCTGGCAGCTGGTTGGCCTGACAAATAATCTGCCATAAAACAATTCAGAACTGAATTTCCAGACCTTAATTGCTCCATGGTACAGTGCCCAGACTGCTCTTACCCTGCAGCAAAGTAGTTTTACCCCTCTTTCATTTAATCAAATGTTATTCATTCAAACTGAATGAAAGAGCAGTAACTATTTGCTGCAGGATATATACACACACAGACAATTACGGCTCAGCTGTCCAGTCTGTGCAAGTTCATACTTTAGCTTACCTCTAGTGTGTTCGCAAGACTATATCCTAGAGATGGCCTGTGGAATTCAGTATGAATGGGTAAGTCAAGGCATCCACTGATCTTGTGCAAGACTAGAACAATATTCCCCCTTTTTACTGGGTGTCAAAAGCCGTTTGTTTCTGTTACACCTTTGATACAGCACTCCCATTAGTCATTCACCCTTCTCTAGGTTTTAATAAGAGACAGAAAACAGCGTTTACTGTTTTTCTCTAAGCAAAGACAATCTCAAACTGTCCCTGGATGACTCCCTTGAATGAGGATATGACTCAGGTTTCATTTGTTTCCTGTCCTGGTATGCTCTCTTTTGACACATCTACAAGCTTAGTGATGCCTGAAGGAAACAAACAGGTTAGAGCTGGGATTTCTCAAAATTTGTTTTATGTGATGATAAAAAGGCCTGTAAAGTATGGTCTCTACTATAAAGACTGTAACATTTGTTAAATCTACAAAATGTATAGACTTGTGGGTAGAGCTCTGCAAAGTTACACCATCCCCATAGCCGTTAACCACTAGCCAAATCTTTGCCACAGCAAAAGTAGAAGCAGGGTCTTGACTGAGACTAGCATGAATAAGCTTAGGGAAAACAGTTCCCTGTAACCTTATAAGTCCTTACACCATGGCACTGACTTTTCCAATCATACTTGCCTTCCTTATAGGCAAATATTAATCAATTACTGGGAAAGCTAAATCTCCAGATTTCTATGGTACCTCAATATTCACGATTCAGACCGACATTATTATTCTTACTCAGTGGATGCTACTTTGCTTCCTACCACTTTGTTGTCCTTTCAATCTCCTTTTAAACTACACTACAAAGCTAGAACCTCTTGGCAGCTTCTGATGAATGTCTTAATGGACATAAAATGAACATACAGGCTGCCCAGAGAGGTTGTGGAGTTTCCTTCTCAGGAGATATTCAAAACCTGCCTCGGTATGATCCTGGGCAACCTGCTCTGGGTGAACCTGCTTTAGCGGGGGGGTTGGGCTAGACAACCTCCAGAGGTCCCTTCCAGCCCCCACCATTCTGTGATTCTGAGAAAATAGAAATGTGAGAGAAAATAATTGGGAAGTAAGAACTGTCATGGTACAATGAGTGATGAATATCCACCGTAATTATAAATTATGTGTAATACTGGGCTATATGGCCCAGAAGGTTGCTGTTTAAGAACCTGAAATTCAAGAGCTTTATAAAAAGATTTTCAACTATTTAAACAGACTTAGACCACAGGTAATGCAAAGATCACTCATTAAGACAGAAAAAAATGCTTAAGTATTGTTTACAGACAGGTATTTGTATTTCACTTTATTTTGTCTCCCTTTATTTCAAGAGACTTGTTGATACACTACATACGTTTATTTGTTGCTGACAGCACGCTTGTCTACCGTACTAAGCAGTTCAAGCAATGAGAGAAAAAATTACACTTTCCCACAACAACTTATTTTCAAGACAATTTAGCAAAATGAAAAGCTTTCTCTTAACTATAGTTTCAGAGACTGAGATATAATACTTATTATTACCTTTTAGTAGCACTAACAGAAACTTATAAAGGTACTGTAAAAATAACAAGCTCAAGCAACAGAAGAAAATCAAAAAGTTGCTGTTAGGAAGCAATAATGATTACCTTATTTTCATTCAAACATACGAAAAACGCTATTTGAAAAGCAGATATTTACTGCTGTTTGTGTGAGTGAATGTAAATAGTTTAAAATATTTATCTATTTTATTACCACCAAAGACAAAAGTTAATGCTAACATTGTCCAGGAACTCATAGCATGACACTTGGGAATACTTAAATAAGGAAGTATGTGTACAGGTGAGTCTCAGGGTCAACCGGTACCACTCAGAAAGAATCACAGACTCATAGAATGGTTTGGGTTGGAAGGGACCTCAAAGATCATCTGGTTCCAACCCCGCTGCCATGGCAGGGACACCTCCCACTACACCAGGTTGCTCAAGATTCCATCCAACATGGCCTTGAACACTGCCAGGGATGAAGCATCCACAACTTCCTTAGGCAACCTGTGCCAGTGCCTCACCACCCTCAGGGTGAAGAACTTCTTCCTTGTATCTAGTCTAAACCTGCCCTCTCCCAGCTTCCAACCATTACCCCTCGTCCTGTCACTGCAGGCCCTTGTAAAAAGTCCCTCCTCAGCCTTCTTGTAGGCCCCCTTTAGATACTGGAAAGCTGCTATAAGGTCTCAGCTGAGTCTTCTCTTTTCCAGCCTGTTCTTGTAGGAAAGGTGTTCCAGCCGTCTGACCACCTTGGTAGCCTGGACTCGCTCTAATAGCTCCATGTCTTTCTTGTGTTGTGTTGTTTCAGAATGTATCCGAAAAAGCCGTTGTGAACACTGAGGCTAGAAAGTATCTTTGACATGACAGTATCTGAAAGGATCACAATGATGTATGAATCTGGTGTTTAGATGCAGCTTATTTGGGTTAATTGAAATTTAGTTACCATCTTGGCATCTTAAAGTTACTTATGCAATGGGAATGGCAATTTTTTTTCCCCAAATGTGTACAAATACGCTGTATTTTACCATCCTGAAAATAATCAGGAAATTTAAAATTTAGACTCCAAAAGAGGTATTTATCTTTTGATAGGTAGCTAACTGGTAGACATTTCCACATAAGGAACAGAGTAAGTAAACTCTGAGAAATGTTTTGTTACATCACTGTACACAGGTACAGCTGCGTTTGGGGAAGGGATACAAACTCTTCCCTGCTGTAACTGGAATAAAATTTTCAAATAAGAAGAAAATAAGAATTACACACCTTCCCTCTCAAAATCTCAGCCAATTTGTCAGCAGGGAAGTAAAAGATGACACCTAACAAATTCTTGATCTGGGGGACTTCTTGGCGTCAAATTTCACACCATCAGATGTTTGCATTTGCTCTCGAGTACTCTAGACATTTCTTTATTTCAAGGGTTTGACAGCTTTGAAATACCATCATTCCAAATGCTTTAATTCCCTCTTACTGCCATTCTCCGTCAAGCTTTCCCTTGACAGGGTTCCTGTTATTAGCTCTTTGCATGGCTAAGCTTATGACTTCTTAGCTTATGACTGGTAAGATGAACTGCTGCTATAAATTGGGAGTTCACCAGTTGATGGAAGAATGAAATAATGAAAAAAGAGAAAGACTTGGGTATCATAGGAGTAAGTATGGGCCACTAATAAAGTCCACAGGAGAGGCTGTATTGAGGTCATTTCCAACAGTGCAAGGTACATACTGATACCATTTTAAAGCTAGTAAATTCTTACTACTGGAAATAGTTCTGTTGAGCTTTGCCTACAGCTCTGGACAGCCATGTTCAAGAAAGATGAATTTATAGCGGGATGTGTTCAAAGGCAATTTGCCAGATTGATAAGGGCAATGGAGATTCTAACCTGCACGAGGTGACCAGCCCTTGCCTTAAGCACTAAACAAATAAAAAGACTGCCCCAACCCTCCCAAACCCAAACCGCACAGATTGCTCTCTACAACTGAATACTTAGACATAAAGAAAAAGCCAAGTATTCTGTAAGTAACTGATAGTAATTGTTTAGTAACAAGATATATATAGTGGTCATTTATACCAAAAATTGAAGGAAATACGTGGATTGTTAGAAAATGTTCTTTGATTTTGCAGGTCATGCTATTATCCTGCATTCGCCATATGGGTACATTTAAGGATAAAGAGGTTTGTGTCTGAACCAAGGATGTGCAGAAGATGACGGTAAATGAAAATGAATCTCAGAGCTATAAACTATATTAGCATACAAGTGAAGGCAAGTCCTTGAAAAGTAATAACAAGATATGACTCAACTCATTTGACAAGTGAAAGAACGGACAAGACTTCTGGAAAGACGTTAAATCAGCAAATGGATTATTCCATTTGATCTATCCAATCTTAAGCTAAAGAGCAGTACACAAAAATCTTAACCTCACGGGAAGGCACCAGAAAAACAAAACAAAATCCACTTCGCTTCTTTCTATAGCAACTTTCCAAACCACATGACAGGTGAAAGTGGGTTGCAATGTTGATATAGGTGACACAGACTTAATTTTATGCTATCCTGAGTATAGGACTAATACTCCACAGAGCTTCCTGAAGAAGCTACTAATTTGAGCAAAGCTGCGCGCTTGATACTGACTTTTCAACACTGAAATGCTTTTATACAAAGCTATTGTCACCAAATGATTACAAATGAAACCAAAAATTTCCTTGAGCAATGTACACTCTTCATGACTTACAAAGGACCACTGTTTCTATATAAATGACAACATGCAAAACGAATCGACTTTTTAACTTAGCGCAGAACCTTTTCACTGCAATAAAAAAACCCAAGCTACAAAGAAAACCAAACTATAATTACCTGGTTGGTAGAAATTTGGTGAAAGTTCTCTGGCAACTGCTCTTGCAATATCACATTCCTGGCGAGCAGCCTGAGCGGCCTGATCCGCAGCATCAGCTTTAGCTCTTGCATGTGCAGTTCTGTACAGAGTAGAAAACAGTTTATATGCAGGGAAGCCTTTCACAAGTTGCATCAATAACGTGAGAGCAAAGGACTACTGTCCTGAGCTACCATACACTATATCGCATAGTGCACTCTTATGCCCACTTGCTGTGAGTAACTGGAAATCAAAGTATTTCAGAATCCACGCATTATTCCTCTCAGTTCTTCAGTCCTGCTCATCCTTGTGTCACGTTTACCTGTAGGTACACAATTTATAGCCCAACCCCACAATTAAAATTTCTAAATAGAAAAAAAAATAGTATCTGACTGAAACCTGGGACTACGATTTTAATACACGTTACCAGAATGTGTACAGAAATGTACAAAAAGCCAGACTGGGCCACCACACTGACTCCTAAACAGTGATCTTTGAGACCAGGACACACGGTGTTCAAGGGGCCCGTGGAATCCCATTACCGCCACAACATTTCAAAGTTAATGCTCAATGCTGTGTGCCATGTAAAATTTTTTGAAGGGCAAAATTTTAGGCAAAATGTTGGCCTAAAAAACTGAGAAATGCCTTCCACAATCAGGCCACATTGAAAACGAATGGGATGGAAAATGTGTTTGATGCTTCAACAGGCATTTGTATAAATAGGGACATAACAGTTTAAAATTCTTGTAACTCACTGAATTTCAAACCCAAAACAATCTGACAAGGCAACTTTTCTGAAGTCAAGACAACAGTTTGGAATGCTTTTGTAAAGTAATCTGCCCTCTGCTTCCATTTTTTTCCTTCTGCTATTTCTTAAAAAGCCTCAAGAACAGGTTGTGCAAGTGCCTCTGATTCCAGACTGTGCAAATTGATAGTTGTGTTACTGCAGGATTGCATCACTGCTTGTCCCATCTTCCCTCCCCACTTCATTTTTAAAACTGTCATCTATCTAAAAATTCCTAACGGCAGTGATCTCTCTGTGCCTTTACAGCATTAGCACATAGCCTAGAGCTATGAAATGGTTCATTAGAATGAAGGGGAAGCTAAACGTGGCAAACCGGCAGAGTTTTGAGCTTCTAGAAATATTAATAACATTTCTAAACCAGATATATTAAATTTCATGGTCTCAGGAATTTTCTCATAACACTAGTAGAAAATTGTCACTTAAGTAAGAAAAAAATTAGTTAAGAGGACAACAGCACCAGCAACTTTTTTCCGATGTGCCTGGTGATACTAATCAACAGCAATCAAATTAATGAAAACTTTCAACAACTTCGCTGTAAAAATTCAGTTTTATTTTCAAGGAATAAAGAAGAGTTCTATGTGGTTTAGATGAAGCAAGAATTAAATGTTAGCATTAACCAGAATGAGTACCAAGAGATTAACAGTATGGCAGACTTTGCATTTCTAAAAGGATGTTTAATCCCGCAGGGTACTAGTATAAACACAGACATAAAAAACCCTCATAGACAGTTTCATCTGTGGTGCCTGGAGAAGATTTATTTAAGTTACATCCTCCCTAAAATGTGTGTGGGGATAAATGTTGAATGTTATTTCAAAGCTTAACTTGTCATAATTTACTGGATAAATATCAGCTCATGCTGCCTTCTTGCAGGTCCCTCTAGGTCTCTGAGAAAAAAAGATAATGAGCAAATAAGCAGTAACACCTTCCACTTGTACTCGGGACGGGGAAAGAAACTGTTAATCAAAACAAATACACTATAATCCCATATGTGTTCCATGCGGTTCATGAATGGTTGTACGGTATGTGCTTGCTTAGTAACAGTAGTCAAACCCGTTCTTTCTCTACAATCATTATTTTCAATTAGATGAGCTATTCTTAGCCCCTGCATAATTATGTCTATGTAGCATAAACTTAATGAAGCAACCCTAGCACTGGGACATTGTTTTGTGAGAGACAATAATGTAGTCTGCACATAGATAAACTAGACACTGATCATTCTTTTGTGATGACAGAACAACCAGACTATGCCCATATAAAAATAGTCTAATACTATTGCCGCTGCTACCATAGGCATTCTAAAAGCTAATATACTAAATGACCAGCATCAGGGAAACATACTGCCGGGACAGTAGAGTTATTTATTGATGCCTGTGAATTTTCTGTATTATTATATCCAAGAAGCAAATCATGCATCCTTTGCAAACATACCGTATCAATTATTTAAGGAATTAAATGGTGACATGAGTAATAAGTCAATGAAACTTTGTCACATGAAGCTGGGCAAAGCGAATCACAGCAGGAAGAAGCCAATGGAACAGAAGGTAAATGAGCACTGCTCTCTGCGGCTGCCTTAGCTCACACCTTTTTTCTCAACTTGTGCTTCCTCCTACTCTGCTGCTTTTGTACTCACATCAGGAGTTCCAGCAGACCAGAACAGGAGCGACTGTTCAGACACGAACGCTGCCAAGGCATGTCTCAGCGGCACACTCGAGCAGAGCCCCAGTGCTGTACGGCCGCTGAGAGACAGTGCAGCAAGAGGAGCTAAATAGGCGCAGGAGGGTAAGGCACAAGAACGGCTTTTATGCTCCTGAGCAGGCCTTCGACCAGCCAAACAGAAGAGTGTGCATGTGGCTGTGCTGAGACACTTCCCTGACAGCTCTTCAGCAACCATCATCGACGATGTAAGGCAAATGTGAAAAGAAGAGGCGAAATGGGCAGAGCTGGTGCTTCTGTACAGAACAGAAGCACCATGCTTCGCCTGGGAACACAGGCTCTTCAGTATTCACATTATTTGCTATTTATTACCCTGGCATTTGGATGCTTTACTGGCTAACTTCAGCAATGTGTACTTTATTACCTCAATTTACAACTGGACATTCAGACTTTTCTGTCACTTCCTGCACACTTACTCGTAAGTGTCAGGTTCAAATAATTTTTCTGTTGCTATTTTATTTCCTGGTTTGTTTTTTTTTTTTTTTATTCTGACTTCCACACTTGATTTGTCTGTATGTTTTCCAAATTACCTGCTGCTTGGTGCTACATTTTGTTTGTACTTGTTTTATTCTGCCTTGCATTGACCCCCCCGCTATCCGAGTGTTATTATGAGAGATTATGGAGAAAGACGTTAGTTTAGAATGACAATCAAAGCACATAATATACAATTTGCTCCATTTATGCTTTAAACAGTTCTGGAACGCCTTCTATACCTTTTGTTCCTGGAGTAATTTTGTCATTGTAAGTTTTGTTTATTATCAGTAATTATTCCTGGAAATTTAAGCCTATGATATACCAAGTCAAAGTGACCCACATTTGGATGACCACCGCCTACTTATGAATTGCTTTTTTTCCCAGACAGCTCTACATCTTTTCCTGCGACAAGAAACTTTTGAAAGAGAAAACTTAACAAAATGACTCCTTTTGTCTCCCCCAGCCAAGAAAAGGACTGTAGTAGGCTTTGCATGCTGTTCTGCACATTCTCCAGGAAGGATCAATCTGAAGTTTCCACAGCAAGACAGAAACTATGCTGAGAAGTAGGCAGCAATCCATAGACTGCAAAATAGTACAGGAAAGTAACGAGTGCTTTGCAATGCTGCATTCAGGTTCTAACCCACAGCAAAGGCCCTTTAATGATTTTTCTTTCAGGTGAACAGGCAGTCCTTCACAAAAAATCATTCTCAGCAACTGTTACACATAATATACATTACTAACGTTTGAACTGCCACGTGTTTTTACATGTCTATCTACTTGAAAGTATCATCCCACCATGAATATTCCGTACAATGTCTCAAACATATGCTTGAAAGCTTTCAAACCAAGTTTTAAACCAAAACCAATTCATATTTAGAGAAACAATCTACCACCGACCTAATGAGTCCAGAGTGGTGGTAAATGCAATCAAGACAGGGACAAAATTAAGTTGTATCTGTGGCAGGAATCAAACTGTACTCACATTGGAAAGGAATCCACAGCCATAGCTCGTGCAGACTGTTGTTACCAGGTGACAGCATGCGGAGTCCTTCTATCTACCTGTCTCTGTTGTCAGTGAGTGAGGGCTGGAGGACCAACGGCCAACTGAATAACTTTGCTATTGTTAGAAATTTTATTTGAAGTGATATGAGAGTCTGATTTTGAAAGAAGCCCAAGCTTTCTAAATGGTGGGACAACAGATATCACTACCGATACCTTTCTTTTCTGTTTTTTCAGGTAGGTAAACATATACATGTCATCTTAGCTACGCTCCAGAGTATGAGCACAGTCAGGCGCTTCTTACAAGCAGTGTCCTCTTCCAGCAATGCAGTGTCCCCTTCCAGCAATACTACCATCAGATTTCTATCTCCTTATGTCTGCAAAGTGACTTGAAAGAGTATTGAGGGCTGAAGAGCTTAACCGACATTATCTAGCATTCTGCAGCAACAATGCTATGTATCATGCCATGTGTCTGGAATGTATTACGTAATGTTTATCTAAATTTAAAACCCATTTAGAACTGTCCATTACCCTTCAGATTATTTTGTATTTCCATGGTATCCTTCAACACACTTGTAATGCTGCCTCATTCTGAGTCAACTAAAAATGTAAGCAACATATGTTTACTTTGTTTCATTTTTCAGCTTTTATTAAACACACTGATTTCAGCACAAAGCTTTCCAGGAGCTTGCTTCTATTTCTTAAAATGATACAAATAATTATCTCTGTTTTCAAATAATCTTAACAATGTTACTTATTAACAGATTTCCACATTGTAAAAAAAAAAAAAAAAATCAGTAAAAGCTAAACCTACATGAAGTTTGAGTCAGAGTTACATTCGTTTAATGACAGCTATCAGGTTTGTCTGACTAATATTACATGCTGTTGGTTATTACCCATACCATCCTTTTTGAACCCGGAATTCTCTAAAAAACAATCCCATCTTCCTAAATTCTAAAATTCAGTGATTTTTCTAGAAAGCAAAGAACATGCTGTTGTTTTTTTCCAGGTATGAAACTCTCCCACATTTTTACATTCATTTCTATTTATTGGAGGCTCAATTCTCCAAAACCAAGCTTTGATAAAATTGCTAGAGAGATCAATAGCATTTC